AGGGTACCTGTCTCGCCGCTTCTCAAAGAACCGCTGAAGGGAGTGTTTCCTTGCAATTGGCAACTCTATAATGAGGCTATATTAGTTGAACTTTACCACAAAATGGAGAAAAACAAAAATCCAAATTGCAAGTATGCTTAAAGTGAAGTAACCCAACAATTACCAGCTTGGAGCTTGCAAAGAGAAGTCCTATGAAGAGGATAACCATGTGAAACTGGTGAAGCCAAAGCAGTGGCAGTGCTCTGAAGTGAAGGAGACCTTGTAAGAACTGGTGAACTGGCAGGGCAGTCAGTAGCAGGAACGGTACTCTTCACATCACCAGAGTTATTTGCAGCTGCTGCTGCTGCAGTAGCAGCAACAAGCATAATTTCACGAACCTGACCACATAAATCATTAGTGAAAAGTTGAAATAAAATCCCATTCCACTGAAATTTAGAAGTAGCAGAGCCAATCAGCCAAACCTTTACCTTTTCCATAGGAATTCCATCAAAAACACAGATTCTTCCACCATAGAAGATGGTCAGCTGAGATGGAGCAGGACTTGCAGCATTAGGTCCCAATGTTGGCATTATTGGGGACCTTAAACAACCAGAACAGAAAGTCAAAACATTGTTCAATTCTTCTTGAATGCACGGGACACAAACAAACCTCCCCATCCCCTTCTCATGGTCTATATCCTCTTCTCCACTAAAAATAGAAAGAGCTCAATCGAGCACAACTTTCTTTGGTCCAACGCATATATGTGCACACAACACCCATATTTGTCAATATATTTATAGGTATAGAAGATGTATAAGTCTTAAAACAAGCTAACTTCTAACAGATCAAGATACATGAACATATACTGATACACACAAGCAACAATAACGAAGTCCTTTTCCATATTAGAAATTCCACCATAATTTACCTATTATTTTCAGTAGTGTTACTTATCATCCCCAAGGAGCAAAACAAAGGAATACACCGAGCTTATCAAATCAAATACCCATTTTCCTACTCCATTAACTTGAATTAAAATAAATAATAATCAAGCTTATGATATTAGATGCCAGAATCAACGTTATATTTCAAGGCCCAGAACGAAAACAGCCAAATTACGGATACCTAACCAAATTCCCTACCGGCGACCACCAGAACTAAGCCCAGATGGCTGAACAAGGTTCAAATGTTAATGCAATTTCATGTTCCAAGCTTACAGATAACACTTTATTGTACGGTTCCTCATTGATTCTTCCTCTCTTTCTAAGTTAGAACCGAAATTCAGAAAATCCCAGAAAGAAAACAAAGTAATTAAGAGCTGACCTAACAAAATTATAGAAATTTCCTTCTCCATTAATTAATAAACGAAACCAAAGAACAGAAGACGTACCAGGTGGCAGCAGCAGCAGCTCCCGCCTCCTTCTGCAGCTGTTTCCCCGAAAAATCAGGGAAGTGGCCGGATCCCGGCTTCCCGACATCATTCTCGCCGGTGCTACCGCCATTGAGTTCTTTCATGGCGGATACTGACTTCACTTGTTCGCACGATTCAGCTTCTCCCTCCATGGAAATCAAACGGAACAGCAATTTTCCTCTCTTTTCTCTCTCTCTCTCTCTCTCTCTCTCTCTCTATTTCCTCTTCTGCTTCTGGGAAATAAGAAACTAGCCTGAACCTTCGTCTGTCCCATGAAAAGGAGAGCCAATAACGTGAATGAAAAACGTGAGAGAAATCGTGTGGCCACCGTCGTTGCTTGACCATGGGAACTGCTACGTGTTGCCCGATGACCCAGGGTAGTTGATCAAATTAATTAATTAATTTATTTATTTATTTATCTTTTAGGAATCTGCCCAGACTGCCCTTTATGAGTCGGTGACTTTTGGTAATGTCCGGAAGTCCTGACTTCCTCAATCGGTTGTACGGGTGGTTGAGCACCTTCCGATAATATTAATATAATTTTTTTATTTATCTTTTCCACATTCGTTTTCGGTTAAATTACAAAAACAATTTCGGCAACACTTCTTTTCTTCGGCCGTACAAATTTTTTTTTTTTTTTTAACAGGCAATGTTGTTTGGCCTTATTTAGCCAACACTTTTCGATCTTATAGTTTTTTTATCTGATTTAATCTCATAGTTTTAGTTAGTAAAACACATGTTTCTCAATTTAATAGATTGTTTAAACTAATTTTTTAAATAATTAAAATAAATGATATTTTTTTTTTTTTTTTTGAGTACTAATTTATTTCGACTCAAAATCATTAGGCGGGCGATTGCACATTTAGTCTTGTTTTTCATTGATGAATTG